GGGGCCGGCGGCGCTCACGCTCGCGACTCCATGCCCCGGACTGCGGCCCCGGAAGTAGCGGGCGCGGGGGACAGCGGAGGCGGCGGACGCGGGGGACCCGGCGGCTCTGGCCCCTTTGACCCGGAAGTCGAGCGGCCCAGGCGGCGGCCTGGGATTGGGCGCTGCTTGGCCGGTACCAAAGCAGCCAAGGTGCTGGGGAGGACGCGCCGGTTGGCCCCCTGCAGCGCAGGGCGGACGTCTTCCGAAGCGGGAAGAACGCTGGGGAGATACACCCCCATGAGATTTGGTATCACCGAGCCAGATCGATGAAGCTTCTACTAGGGATTCCCCACAGACTACTGTACAAGCCGAAGCGTTGGTGGTATAGTGGTTAGCATAGCTGCCTTCCAAGCAGTTGACCCGGGTTCGATTCCCGGCCAACGCAGGCAAAAGTGGTTGTTTTTCTCTTTTCTCTCCCCAGTCATCTAAAAACTTGCAGTAAACACTCCAAACCAAAATACCTATGACGGTTACTTTCAAATACATTTTAAAATTTCATCAGAACTTTTAAAAGACGGAAGAAGGAAAAAAATTTTCTGGTAAACACCCCGAATCAAAATTCCTATTACAGCTACTTTGAATAAAATTTTTAATTTCAGCATAACTCTTAAGAGACAGAAGAAGGAAAACGTTAGGGGTTGTTCCCGCCCGGGATCGAACCGGGGACCTTTCGCGTGTGAGGCGAACGTGATAACCGCTACACTACGGAAACGTACAGAAAACATATTTTCTTAATTGTTAAGGAAAGAAAATGTTCTCGCTATTGTTACACTGTAGTTGTTGATGTAAACAGTATCTGATTGCAATCTGTCCAGATAATTCCAGCTGCTCTTCGTGGATACTCATCCCTCTGCTAAATGCAAAGAAAACTAAAAGAGGAAAAATGAAGAATTAAAAAATTTAATAAACACCCTCTCAACATACACACCTCCCTTTGTTATTTACGGTCAATAAACATTCTATTAAAACAATCCAAGAACAAAATTGTCTGCAAACCCATCCCAAAACCAAACCAACGTCTCATTGGTTCATCTCTAGATAGAATCTATATTTAAAACTGCTTAAGTGGCTCTCTCTATATTTACCAGTTTGCTTCAGCCCAAACCACTTCCTAAAAGAACTTTCTAAAATGGATTTTTGTTGTGTGTGTATTTCTGCATGCTTCAAAAAAACAAAACAAACCCGTTGCCTTCTAGTCGATTCGGACTCATAGCGACCCTATAGGGCAAAGTAGAACCGCCGCATAGGGTGTCCAGGAAGCGGCTGGTAGATTTAAACTGCCGCCCTTTTGGTTAGCAGCCTGAGCGAATAGGGCTCCAAAAACTTGTGGGGGGGCAGGGAGGAAGCCAGGGGAAAAAAAACAAGAACCTTTTCGTCTCATCAGCCAGAGCTAACTTGGTAGTATTTTAATTTAAAATAATAATAATAAAAAACAACAACAACACAGCTGCCAACCGAGTGGACTCCGACTCTTGAAGGCCCCATGTATGTCAGAGTAAAACTGCGCTCTATAGGGTTTCCAATGGCTGGTTTTTCAGAAGCAGATCGCCAGGCCTTTCTTCTGAGGCCTGTGACAGGAAGTCTACTTAGGGCAATCATGGAAGGCTTTCCTGAGGAGGTGACAGCTGAGTTGAAATCTGAAGGATGTTCAGGAGTGAAGGGAGGGGGAGGTGGGTGAATCAAAGCAAGGATTCCTAGGGCTGCTGACACAACGTACTATAAACTGGCTCACTCAGATAAAAGCCTGAGTCCTCCCGGTGGCTCACCACAGTCTGCCCCATCCCCTCCCTGCCCTCACCTCCTCCTTTCTCCCCCTCCCTCTTGCAGATCTAGCCACGTGGGCCTCCATATTGTTCCTCCAACTCACCAGGCATGGTCCTGCCTCAGGGCCTTTGCACTGGCTATTCCCTCTGCCTTTCCCCCAGGGATTTCCAGGGCTCACTCCCTCAGTTTCTTCAAGTCTTGGTTTCAAAGTCGCCTCCTCGGGAGGCCTTCCCTTATAAATTTATTTCCTATTTCTCCTGGGTCTCCTACATGGGCTGTGAGCTCCAGCCGTATTGCTGCTGTGAAGTGGATTCCAACTCATAGCAACCCTACAGAACAGACTAGAACCACCCTAAAGGGTTTCCAAGGAGGGGCTGGTGGATTCGAACTGCTGACCTTTTGGTTTGCAGCTGAACTTTTAACCACTGTGCCACCAGGGCTCCAGAAAGGCCAATTTGTTGTTGTCTGTTCATTTGTTTTAATCTATTTTGTTTGCTGCAGTGTCCCTAGATGCTCAGTAAATCTTTGTTGAAATTATGAACAAACATGACAGCTGGCTGGAGGACAGTAAAGACCTGGGGAAGAGTTAAAGTAATCTAGGTGGGCTTCCTGGTGGAGGGGGAGACCTCTGGAGAACTTGTAAACTTCTGTAAACCCTGTTAAATCCTGACAGTTCACTTACCTGCAAAAACAAAATTAGAGTAAAACTCTACCTCCTCTAAAGTGGTTTCTTGGGCCCTTCAAACCCACCTGGGGCATCCAATGTGCTGTGTAATGCCAGGCAAATCACTGCCTCTCTCTGAGCCTGGGGAGGCCACAGCTTCAGAGAGGTGCCTTGGTGGAAAGGGACAATTATGCCATTGTTCCATCTAGCCACTAGGTGTCAGCAGAAGCATGGCTGGGCATCACATACAAACACACACACACACACACACACACACCAGCAACTCCATACAGCACACACACACACACACACACACACACACACACACACACACACACCAGCAACCCCATACCCTTCAGCTCCTCTCTGGGCCTCAGACCTCAGCATGTCTGACGTCAGACACTGCCCCTTATACACCCCAGTATTTGCAGAGACACCCCTACTGCCAAGCAGTTACCCTGATAGGCAGAGTTTGGGGTTCAGCCATCCCAGGAGCCCTTAGTGAGGGTTCCAGGGAGAAAGAGGAAAGAGGAAGAAAAGAAGGAAAGCACCCAGGGATTCAATGTTTCCAGTCCAGGGAAAAATTCTTGCAAACTCTAGCCTCATCGGATCCCTTTTCCACGTGGAATAGCATGCTTGGAAACATGAAAATCTGCACCAGGCACTGCTCTAAGGAAATGTCACATTTTTTAGCTCATTTAGTCCTCCCAACAGCCCCATGATGCTAGCAATATCATCATCCCCCTCTTACATGGGAGAAGACTGAGGCACAGAGAGGTTAGGTAATTTGTCCAAGGTCACACAGCTTGTAAGTATTGGAATAGGAATTCGAATCCAGGTGGCCTAATTCGAAAATCTGTGATGCAAGACTAGATTGCCTTCTACATGGATGAAGTTCAAGGTTAAAGTAGATAACTAAAGAAGATAACTAAAAAATAAAACAAAGTGTAAAATATAA